GGGTTAAGAATTGAGGACAAGGAATAATATAAGGCGACGCGCAAAAGACGTTGAAGGGCTTGAATGATTCATGAACAGAAGGCAAGGGCGCGGGACATGGGGGGGATTAAAGGTGAAACTGGATATTTCAGGGAGAGCAGATTAATACCTAAGTTGCCAGAGAACAGCGCGTTTGGACTGTACAACGCCTGGGGCAGTTGAACAAAATCAGACAAAGAGAAGGGATGTGGACCAAGACTAAATCACTCAAGAATTAGGTACAAGGAAGAGAGACATGAATAAGGTCTACAACAAAGGGAGTTTTATATTTTGACTCCATATACCTCATATACCTCGTAAGGTATAGGGAGTAAATATATTTTTTGGCTGATGTGATTATCAAGCAAAAATGGTTTGGAGTAGATTTTGTGGAACTATGAGGTCTAAACTTGTATTTATTTCAAGTAAGGCCAAGGTAGACTCTACTGAATATGTTAAGCAAGTCATGTACCCACAGTTTGTACCCTTTTGGCATCGCTGTTGTGAGGTATATGGGTGGGTCACTACTGTAGAGGATGGCACACTAGGGCACAAGGGTTTCGCTAAATACTACAGAAATCTTAACGAAGTTGAGACTACACAGTGGCCAGCTCAATCACCAGATTTAAACCTGATTGAAGCTCTGTGGTTGGATCTTGAAAATCAGCTGGGGGAAACTTGGGGGAGGATCAGCAATATACCAACACTAGAAGCTGCTCTTAATGCAGTTTGGAACGCGATCTCAGATGAGCGGCTTGAGGCGCTTATCAGAAGCATGCCACAGCGCCTACAGGCTGTTATTGAGGCAGATGGAGGGCCAACTCGATATTGATATTTGTAATTTAACTTATATATATAGACTTCTTTTCTCTACCAATCATACTCATAAGATATCACTCACAGGTCTTCCATTTCCAGAAGTGATCCCGACTATTTGCCGACACTAAAAAATACTGACTTGCTATCACTCGAATTTCCTAAATTGGTTTAGTCCACATATAAATGCCACATCTCCTTTTGGAAGCGAACCCCACTTTTGTCAACCCCCTAGTACAGTACTTTACAGTGCGGCACGGCACAGTGCTCATACATCGAGGCCGGTTACGAGTATGATATTATGATGGATTAATTCTGCGTAGACTTTACTGTGAACCCCCCCGGCTTCCAGTGATATTCTACGCAATCGCGGTGCGGTACTGTACAAACCCCCTCCCCCCCCCCGGTTACTGCTGTATCCAATCTCGTATGTATCATAATGTCATCTTTTTCGTGTAGCGTATATCTGCTCGCCCGGATAGCTATCGGCATACTCACTGACTGACTAAGAAGGATTCACCCATCGTGCGAGTACTGTACAAGTGTCGCACTCGTACAAAAGATCCTGGAGGGGGAGGTTTGGGCCGGTTAATCGATCGATTAATACCTGCTTGCCAATCTATTGTTGGAGCAGGAGCTAAGTAATGGCACTGACCGCCCCCCTACCCTACTCCGCTCGAGCGTCTTAGAGTGTCACGAGATGAGGGATTGAATTCTATCTATTGCATTTCCCCAGAGTAGTCATGTACAGTAGAGTAGAGCCGTCGGTTTTCAGTGCTAGACTACCAATACCGAGATCCATTGTATAGCGGAATGTTTTACTCGCTCCATGACTGGCGGGCAGAGAGGGGGGGAGAGAGAGCACTCATGTACTCAAACCGTACTCGAAACTGATGAGTTGGTTAGTAAAGCTCTCCATGGTGTGTATCATACTTAACTTACATGCTAGTTAGTCCCTTTTCCGATCCCTCCTTACATGGCCGCAAATCCCAGTGCGCAGCTCCGCCACACCCGAATACCACCGGCGCAAGTGGGGAGAGAATACAGACACAATTACCCGTCGACAGATTTCGGTGACGAGGTCAACTTGTATTTTGCCATGTCTCCATGAACGAGTTATTGCGCCCTACTTACTATTTATGGGTCTCACAGATAATTGAAGCTCCCTCGGTATCCTTCCTTCAGGAGAAACACACTCCCCAATGGGAGGAAGGAGGGGTCCAGGGAGGCGGGTCACGAAGGGATATATATCACCTCACTATCCGATCCCTTCACTCACCTTACTACCACTCCCCTGCCAAGTCGGGTGCACTACAGGGATTGTGTATGCTACTGTCTTCAATCACATTAGTAGATCCCAACGTGGATCAATTTAGGCTCGCCACGGCCGAGAATATACCACCTATACGAAGGGCTACAAAAACCACCACCACTATAAACCTCCTAAGGACTAATTTTACCCACAGCACTCGTCGTCTTCAACCCCCATCACCCGGACAAGGACAAGAGGGGGGAAAAAAAGAAAAAAAAGAAAAAAAACGACCCCTTCCGCTCCACTACCCATAATAACTCGCTGTCCCAAGGCTTGGCTTCATCACCCATCACCCCGAGACCAGCGGGACGCTACAGAAATAGCTCGAGGGAAGAATCCGAGTGACCGCAAATGTAAGAGCTACTACAGATAACGAGAACGAGTGAAGGAAGACTTGCGAACGGCTAGTAACCAAAAGCCTTTCTTCTTTACCTGAGCCATAATCTCCAAACCCACGACTAGACGAGCCCGGCATGAAGGAGGGGGTGAGTTGGGGGGGGG